CTTTCAGTTCTTTTGCCGGCTCACCGACGTTAAATAGCGCCTCCAACATAGGCTCGTAGTTTAGCTCCAAGTTCATCCCCCCTGACACAAGTACCCCAGTCTTGTGCCGGGCGCTCTGCTTAGTTAACACCCAGACGTCCCCCGACCATCCAATTGATCATCTCCGAAGTCCCGCGGTAGAAGCTACTTTTCTTCTGGGAGGTCATTTTCACCACAATGAGTTCAGGGACGACTTGCTAGCCTAAGATCCTAATCACATGCCGGGATGGAGCGTACACCATCGCCCAGCTTCTCATGTACGCTCCACCACGGGTTGCTACCCCGCTTACGCTCCCGAGTAGACCTATCTGCCGAAAGTTTGGCCAACAATTCCTTACTGCTTTATACTCGCCTCTCTCCAATCGAAAACAATGCATTGTGCGTGCCGCACATCTAGCTCCGCAGTTTTTGCGTGGTTGGTCCGGTCATTCAGCTTGCTCGACGTGAGAAATATGCTTTGCTTTGATGGCTCTATGTTTTGTCGATCCACTTCAAGCAACGAANCACTTTCCAACCGAAAATAATGCATTGTGCGTGCCGCACATCTAGCTCCGCAGTTTTTGCGTGGTTGGTCCGGTCATTCAGCTTGCTCGACGTGAGAAATATGCTTTGCTTTGATGGCTCTATGTTTTGTCGATCCACTTCAAGCAACGAACTTCCCCCCCCCCTCTCCACCGTCCGATCCATTTTGGATCTCACGCCGGAGAGTTTTGGGGTGTCTTGGGTCTTCAGTCCTCCACCGCCCAATGGGGGACTCAAGTATTTATTTCTGCCGAAAAAATAGGCATGAATTTTGGTAAAGCTTGTGCTTACTTTGGACTGTACCCTCCTTATCCTCTGGGGGAGGTAGAGATGGTGGGGGGCTTATGGCCTCTATTTTTCAGGGGGGGTTCATGTGCTGGTTGGGGGTCGGTTCTATGTGTTCTGCATCCTTGAATTGTCCCCCCACTATAGCTACTGTGGATTTTGAGCGTACAGCTATCCTTACTCAACGCGTATGTGTCCGGCAATCTCCAATACAAATCAACCTGTGAGGTTTCAGTATGCAGCTTTCGTCACTTAATGCGTCTATGTGTCCGGCAGTCGCAGACGTCACTCAACCCGTTAGGTTCCGATATGCAGCCATCCTCACTCAAAGCGTCTATGTGTCCGGCACTATCCAACATCACTCAGCTCGTGAGGCTTTGGTATGTAGCTAACCCCACGCAGAGCGTCTATGTGTCTGGCAAACTCAAAAACCAATCCATCTAAGAGCTTTCAGTATGCAGCTATCCTCACTCAACACGTCTAGGTGTCCGGCAATCTCCAATACAAATCAACCTGTGAGGTTTCAGTGTATGTCTTTCCTGACTGAAAGCGTCTATGTGTCCGGCACCATCCAACATCTCTCAACTCGTGAGGTTTCAGTATGTAGCTATCCCCACTCAAAGCGTCTATGTGTCTGGCAAACTCAAAAACCAATCTGTGAGGTTTCAGTATGCAGCTATCCCCACTCAATTCGTCCATGTGTCTGGCAATCTCAAACCTCACTTATCCCGTGGGGTGTCAGTATACAGCTATAATCACTCAACACGTCGATGTGTCCGGCAATCTTCTACATCACTTAACCTGTGAGGTTTCCGAAAGCAATCCTCACTCCACGCATCCATGCGTCACGCGTCTTTGATGGCGCATACTATGGGGGCTATATTTGGGGTGGCGTGTCTTACAGCGCTTTTGCCAACAGCGCCAACCCACTTAAGTCTTGAGGGGGGGGTGGGGAGCTGTACTCATAGTCGTGCATGTCGTGGTCGTTAGACCATTGATCTCGCATCCCTACAAAGCCGGGACGAAGCAAACCGGGTTATCACCGGACCAGGCTCTCACATCACCAAGCGCGAAGCGCCGTGAGATATTCGGCGAGTCGCATGAAGGGTGCGTTGCATCCTGCTAAGGTTGTTCGGCATCTTGGGCTTACTTCCTCGGATGACAGCTGCATATGACTTAATTTACTTTCTGGTGCTTTCACTTTCTAAGACAGTTGTAAGCACTGTGTAACTGCCTCGAGGGTGCGTGACCATTTTAACAC